TTACTACTTCTATGCCTGCTTAACTATATACTTAATTATAAGCCTATTAGTCTCTTTAGTCTTATAAGGAAGGGTGGCAGGCTAAAAGGTCTTAATATAAAGGTTTACGAGTTCCTTAAAGCGGCTATAAAGCTTAGTGGCTAGCTAATATAGTATAAGGTATCGGTATAGCTAATACTCGTTAACTTGTAGCTCGCTCTCTAGGCAGGCTACCCAGGTACTAATCTAATCTATAACTAAATACTCAGGGAACTACTACTTAACTAGGTTATAGGCATTATCTTGAATTAGGATAGGGTAGTAATCTCTCCGGTGCCCTTCTTAACTGTAGTAGTAGTAGCGAGCTAGTAAGGGCTAGCAGTTATTCTAAGCACCTCTCTACTATCCTAGGCAGTTATTGTATTACTAGATTAGGCAGTAATCGTTATATCGGTTATTATATCTAAGGCGGGGTCCTCCGTAATATATCTCCTTGGTATACTAGGCGTTATTAGGCTAGTAAGCGGCACTATTAGCCTAATTAGGGGCGGTAAAGTGTATTAAAGTAGTAGTTATAGGCTAAGGGGCGTGCTTAAGGACGGTATAAAAGGCGTTCTTTAGATTAGACTTTAAAGTAAGGAGGGCTTAGACTTTTCCCGTGCTTATCTTCTTAGATAGAGCGAGCACTTAGGTAATAATACTCCTAACCCTTTTAGCTCTATTATAAATAAGGGAAATAGTAAACTTCTCGAGGAGGTCGGCGAGCTTATCTATATCCGATTAAGAGGCTATAGACTCCTAGACTATAATAGGCCGCCTTAAGATAATAGGTTAGAAAGTAGCACTATTAGACTAATTAGACTTAGCTATGCCTCGTATAGCGTCCTTATCTATAGCCTTACCCTCCGCTTTTTAGATATCCGTAGTCTACTCGCGTAGTAGTTCCGAAAGTAGCCTATAGCTCTTAACTATCTTTCTTAAGTTGGTGCCTCGAATCTTAAGCTTATTAGCGATAAATATATAGATATCCTTATATAGAATAGTAAGGACGATACTATAAAGCTCGGAGTCCTTAATAATAATACCTTAAACCCGCTTAGCCTTAGCCCTCTAGATAGTGATTTATTATAATAAGTCCCTAACCTAATAATTACTATTAATCTTATACGTCGTATATTTCACCCGAAGCTAATAAACCTCGTAAAAGAAGTTAAGTTAATAGTTAGGATCTAGATAAGAGTACTCTTTAATAAGCTTCTTAACTAGATTAAACTAACTACCTTTATCGGCTTAAACCTCTCTAACTAGGCGTTCGATAGCGGGACGAATAGCCGTATCCGTGTATAGGTTAATATAGGTAATCTTATCGACTTTACTAAGGCGGTTAAGCTTAGTATAGTTATCGTATTAGTAAAAGAACGTGGAGAGGGACTTATTACTAAAACGGGGAGCTCTGGTAATAAGGGGATTTAGGGGTACTCTTAATATAGTAGTGGTAGAGGTAGGGCTTTAACGACCTCGGGGATACTACTCTCTCGGTTACGGCTTATCAGGGCTTATAGTAGCTTTATTAGGTCTTTAGTGGTAGTAGGGGGCTACTAACGCTTAGTAGCGGCGGTAGTAGGAGTATTCGAAGCGGGCTAGGTAGTAGTAGTAGTCGATTTATAGGCAGGGGCAGATCTAAAGGCTAATCTAGGGGTAGAAATAAGGGCAGTATTAGGGGTAGTTATTAAAATAGTAGTAATCGGAGCCGCGGTAGATATAGTAGTCGGCCTAGGAGCGGGCGGAGGTAAGGTTATAGCCCCGATATCGTGGTTCCCCTAATTAGGGGTAGTAGAAGTAGCGGGCGTGAGAATAGGGGGAATAGCCGGTAAGGGACCTTCGTTATCGGAGTCGCTAATAACGATAACGGGGTTAGGCTCGCGGTGCTAAATCTAAGTATCTATAATATTTTAGGTATAAGTATAAGGGGGTAGGCGAATAATAATAATAGGGCTAGGGCGTTTAGGGAAAGGTTCTTTAAACTAATCGTCTAGTAAGAAGATCCTATAGGTATTCTAAATACTAGCTAGATTATTATATATATTATCTTATCTTAATAAGAGTAATAAGGTCTTTAATAAGAGGGTAGTCTTAGGTTTTACTCCGTGATATTTATCTTCGGGGTTAATCTTTTCTAACTTACCTTAAAGGAAAAGGCCCTATACGATTAGGAGATTACTTATTAGTAAAGGGGTTATACTCACGGATATTAATATTAGTAATATTATACGCTAAGTCTTACGAAAAAGTATTATACCTTACTTATAGGGTCCGTAAAGGTCTTATCTATTAGACTATCGGGTCCTTATATAGGGTCTTATTATTTCGCTTCTACGCTTAGTATTAGTATTTTCTTTAGGTTATTAAGGTTTAGTTAGCCTAATCCGGGTAAGCTACTCTTAGCGGTCTTATCTTTTCTTCGTTATCGTGCAAGAGTCTATTTTAATTAGTAATAAGGGTTATAAACCCCTTATCGAGTCTATTCTAGATCCGGAATCTAACTCTATCGCGATCTAATCGGTTTCTTCTATTCCTATAGTTACTACCTTCGCGGCGGCGGGTCTTATAATTAAAAATACTAACGGTGCTTTCTATCTTACCTATATAGTCGTTTCTTTTTCTAAATCTATTAGGGTAAATCTCCCCTCGGTCTTAAAGCCTTAAATCCTTCCTCGGTTATTATCTTTATATCCTTTAGCGGTCGTTAATTAATAGTCTGTTTAGGAGGGCCGGAACCTCCCTTAAGCGCCTCTATTACTCTAATCAGGGTCAGAACACTTTAGGGACACCGAATAAATCCGCCTCCGAGTACTATATTATAACTAGATAAAGACGTAGTAGCACTAGATCGTTAAGATAAAGGTCAGATAAAGAGGGTAGTCTAGCAAAACCACGATATATAACCAAAATATAACTAACACCGCTATAACCTTTAGCGAAGAAGTAAATCGGTAATCACTATTATAATTAGGGTAACGTAAGTTAAACTAGAAAGATACCTTAAACGTAGAATAAGTAATTATAAAAGAGGATAATAATTAAATAATAGTCCCTTAATAGGGATATCCTGAGCCTATACTTTATATATATTTAGGCAGTGGATCCGGCAGCCTTAAAAAGGGGGGTTATATAACCGTCTACCGAAACCGCTCTCATGCCGTATCTACGCGATTATACTATAACGCTACTATAACCTATAAGGTAGCGATCCTCTATAGTGGTTCCTTAGTATTAAGGTTATTCGCGACCGCGTTACCCGTAAAATCTAGTTATCGTAACGCGATTATATAGCTAAGTTAGAATGCCTATTAAAGCTAAATAGTAAGTATAGCAGTAATTATTACCTAATATACCTAATTAAAATCGCAGAACTACTATCCTATTTAGGGACCTTAACTAATATTAAAAGCTATTAACGGAAGATAGGATCTATACTATATATAGTAGTGATATCGCGGCCTGATATCACGTTTATAGTATCTAGACTATACCGGTTTAACGTTAATCCAGGGCCTATATACTATAAGGCCGCCGACTATCTAATCCTTTATCTAATTAATAGGTAATCGTTTATATTAGAACTAGGGGGTAGCGATACTATCGAAATCTACACTAACGCCTCGTTTACCGATAATACCCTTAATCGAAAGAGTAGCTAAGCGTACGTGATACGTTTATTTAGCGGTATAATAGCGTGGCGCGTTAATAAGCAGGATACGGTCACGATATCAATAACGGAAGCAGAGCTATTGGCGTTAGTATAAGGTATAAAAGAGGGTATCTTTATATAACGCCTATTACTTAGTATAGGAGTAGAACTTAACGATCCGGAATTAAGGATCTTATACGATAATAATTAGACGATTCGATTAGTGAATTAAGAGAATAGCACGTTAATAACGCGCCTCCGCTATATCGATATCCACGGCCACTAGGTGCGTTAAGTAAAGGAATAAGGGTAAATACTCGTAACGTACGTTATAAGCGCGGAAATAGTAGTAGACCAGCTAATAATATACGGCGAGAAATTTAAGATATTTAGGTCCTAGGTAGGCGTGATAGATATACGGGAACGGTTATACCAGAAATAGCTAGAGGAAGTCCGGATAGAATATTTAAAGGACCTAGAGGATAAATTTAAGGGCGGCTATAGCGAATAGATTATATAGCTAGATTATCTGCCGATTTCGAATAAGTTTAATCGCCTAACTAATATTTAGGGCGATTAGGGGGTATATCGAATAGACTATAGTCTTTTCGGTTCCGTAATAGGCCGGATTACTAAGAGTTTATTCCGGGTAAACGCTTATAGAATCTGCACTATATAAAATACGGTAGTAGCGTTTACCTAACGGTCTGACACAGTTATAATTATACACAATTACCTTAATTAATTTTGACCTATTTTATGACGATTTTAACGACGCTTTATCTGACAGGCAATGGCCCGTTACGTAATCGAAAAGACTATGGTCTGTTCGACAAACTCTGCGGACCAAGTTGGTCCCTGTTCTAATTTCCCTATCACGGGATACGCCCCAGTACGTATTTAGGTAGACACGATGGCGGGTACTGAGTTGTTTACAAGCAACTGGATCTCTTTATAATCCCCATCTGGCTATGCCTGCCACCGATCCACAGTCAATCTAACCAGCTCAAAGCTGAGCCTGGCCCTGTTGAATTACTCCTCGGCGAAGATTATCCAAACCTTTCACCAGAGAAACATCACTTTTCACCACAGGCATTTTGGCTTTGCTTGGCCGCTGTGTCCTCTCGCGTCATGCCGACCTGTTCAACTTATGACTCGGGGTCGGTTCGCCCTGATGCTATCGTTTTCATGCCAGGGGCTCCGGGTTGTTGGTGCGCTCAATGAATCTGGCTGCAAAAGAAGGTATGCAACATGTACGTGTCTTTTACGCTCACGCAAAGGTTCCCCTCCCTCCCGCCGAGTCAACTGTTAGGCGGACTGCCAGAGTTACTTTGGTCGTTTAAGTAAGGCTACAGCGCGGAAAAGACAAATAACTAATCGGGAACACTCGTTAGCGTGAACAGGGTAGAGAAAAAGGAAGAGGGGTACCCATTCAGGAGGCGGGTTTCGACTCACGTTGTTTGTGGCCGCAATTGCGATGCTGTCTTCAAATGGATGCCAGCTCATGTGCAGAATCTTCTTGTTGAAGTCAATTTGGTCGGCGTCGGTTTCTTTACGCATCCGCTGGCCCTGTCCTCCAGCAGGACTACCAGCGCGTGAACCGCCCTTCTTGCCGTTGGTAGATGTCGGGCTCGTCGATGTGTTGATGGGCGTGGGAACTCCCACCTTCTTAGCCTTGAATGCCGATTTGTCTGCCTGCAAAACTACCTCAACTTCCTTCTCTGGATCCGATGGGTAGATCATGAAATTGTTGTTATAGCTCCCCGTCATAACGTTCTTGGCATCTCCTGAAAAGACCACTTCGAACTTGTCGAAAATGCTGTCGTTTTCGTAGGTGTCACAAAGACGAGGCCGTAGATGCTCATGAATGGGGATCGTCTTAATGGGTTGCCGCTCCATGTTGATATCCCAAATCTTAACTGTCAAATAATCGCGTGAAAGAATGTATCTGCCATCGAAGGAAAACCGAACATCCGAGATAGAAGAGATGATCTCGGAGAAAAAGGACCTCGACGACGGGTCCTCTTCTTGCTCAAATACTGCGAGAAGCATTAGATATGGCCTGAACAGCGAGGATGAGAGGGCAAAAAAGTAAACAAAAGAAAAGAAGAAAAAAAAAGGGGGGGGGGGGGCGACCGTCGACATACGCTTCGCGTGCTGATCACAGAGGGCGCTCTCTCGCATATCCGCCAGCTTAATTGTGCCCTTGGAGCTTGCGTACATGAACCAGTTGCAACTCTGCGGGTGGAACTCGGCGGCGGTGATCACCTCAGTGAGCTCCTCCATGTTCGCAGGTTTGATGTCCACTATGTTGAAGCTTTGGTCTTGGATGTTCAGATTCCAGAGATTGATCCGGAGATCATCGCTGCTAATGAAGGTTTCTCCGTCGCTGTTCACCGATATGCTGTTGATATGGTAGGCGTGGGCATTCGCGTAGGTGCGGCGTGGCACAGCGGCGACTACTGTGTCGTGGTGGGTGAGGCGGGGTAATTTGAGATCGCTCGCATTTCGGAACTGGGACGGGGGAAGTGGTCTCGGAGCACCACCGCCACCCGCTAGACCGCCAGGGGTGAGGTCATTGGACAGGTTATTCTCAGCAACCACCTTGAGGGACTTCTCGAACACTTTCCAAAGCTTAATCGTTTTGTCGTTGGTCGACAGGAGATAATGAGATGCGTTCTGTCTCCGACACCACTTGATCTTGTTGATCTTCTCTTCGATCTCCAACGACTTGAGGTAGTCGAACTCTGGCTCATGCGACTGGAACTCGGTGTGGAACTTGTACTCGCACGTTTTCTTCTGCATTCGACAATCAGATATCTGGCCCCATCAGAGCAGTCCAACACTCAACGTACCGTTTCATTTCTCTCGAAAAGCACGACGCGACCTCCTTTGTCTCCTGTCGCGAGGTAGTTCCCAGTATGATCGAACTCAACCGTGGAGATTATATCGGCTAAATAAAGCTTGTTAATCCGCGAATCAAGGATAATGGTGAAATAGAGAGACCTCACGAACCCTCTGTAATGTCCTCCACGTCACCTTTGTCGCCAAAGCACCTGGTGGCTTTCGTCAGAAACGGGTCAAAATGAACCTTGTGCTGTTGGCCTTGCAACGCAGCGCAGTCCAAAGGGAAGGGGAAAGAGCCTACTGAGTGAACTTCCATGTCGGAGAGTTCGTGTCAGTGTCTACCATATTTGCGATTTGCCCAAATGCAAAGCTTCGTATAGGTATTCGGGTAGCACAGAAGGTCGGGCGTTGCGGTCAAAGGAATAAAGAAATATAACCGTGTCTTGGAATGAGCAGCGCGATAAATCGGATTTACTGCTGGAACCAGGTTTACAGCATGCGGCAGTTTAGCTAGCGTAACTAGCAGTCTAAGCTGGGAGGCTTCTGGCAATCGGGGGTGGGAATCACAGACAACGGTGATATGTGTGCCTTCAGAAGCTGATAAACTACCACACGAATGCGAGGTTTGGTGGAATCAAAGGATGGGACGGGAGTTTTTCTAGACTCGTGACTATTTTCCTGTTAGCCAAGGCAGCCCCCAATATAAGTTGAAGAACGAAGGCAACTGAAGTGGCGCCAGTTGGACAGAGGGCTCTACAACGGGGCCATCATGATGAGGGAGGATGTTATGGCTGTGCCAATGAACGGGGCAAGTCTCGAAAATGCAATGGAGAAGAGGATATGTGCAACATCGTTGCGTATCTTCACCTTTTTCGGGTCGGGCTTCGCACTGTCGGGCTGTGCATTTGTTGTCGGCACCTTACCTGGGTTGTCAAGAAAGCGACGGACTTTCGCTTGGTAGAGGCTGTGGGAACCAGGTAAGAAAGAAAGACGAAACGGAGTGACGTTAGGTGCAAGTAAATGTGGGCGGCGATATACATGCCTTACTAAAAAGGTACCGTACTTCGTACGAAATACGTACCAGGCAATGGGAGGGCAGGCAACCACGAATAAGTAGTCATACTTAGGTACTTCGTCGGTAGTTATTCCCTATGAGGCGATGGCCTCTGTTCCATAAGGTATGTAGTTTAGCGCAACTTCAAAGACACAAGCCCAGTCCAGCCTCACCCCGCCATCGATATTTCTCATATTCCCCGCATTAAACTCTGGCCAGGTTAGCACCTTGAAATAAACCCAGCCCCAAATGTTCTATATAGCCAAAACATTCTGTGCCGCAAGCGCTGAATATACTAAGTCAGACCACCCCAATCCGGCCACCCCCCTAATTTAGCCCACCTATTTTTCTCTAATCCAACCCACTACCTTAAATAAAAACGCGTTAATATATTAATATAATATTAAAAATCGCTTAATTAAAGGATATCTTCTATTTTACTATACTAAAATACACGGAAAGTGATATTTAACTTACTCTTCACGATATTCGGTAGGGTATAAGTATTTAGCACGCTTTACGCGTTTAGGGTATACCTCGAACCACCCTTTATAACTGTTTTAACGGTAGCTAACCTAAGAAGATCGCTTATCGGTATCTTTAACGGCTTATGCTTATTTAAGAATAATATTTTACTAATTAGGTATTAGTATAGACTATATTAGGGTTCGCGCCCTCTTACTTTTAGGTTAAGGGATTTTCCTAGAAAATCTTATATACTTAAAACGATATATATCTTCTAAGGAGGGGCTAGATAGCTAGCTTTTTAGCTAACAATGCCTCCTTAAAGACTATAAAAGGTAAACGAATTAAGAGCTATTATCTTAAGAGCGTTATAGCTAAAGTTTTATAGGAATTATTTAACCTATTTAAGTAACCGATAATTAAGGCTATTCTACCGCGATTCTAATATAATATAAGGAGATGTCGCATTATAGTGCCGGGATATATCAGGGGAGATACGAGAGCGCCTCTCGGCTAACACGGGCGCGCGTCTAGTAATAAAATAGGACTAGCTCCTAGCGCTCCGGAGTAAGGAGACCGCGGGGAAGGTCGCGAAGTGGTTCCTATAAACCGGGCGCCTTCCGGACTTCCGACTAGCATAATAACTAGAATCGGAGGCGTAGTAAAGCCCCCGTAGTGCTAGAACCTCGGGTATATATACGGGGGAAATAAAGACGGCTATAAAGAAGATAGGTAAAGGGCGAGTAAGATATTTATTAATAGCCGCTATATAGCCGCGCTATAGCCGCGTTATACCCCACCTACTTACTCCTCCTCCTTATTATCTATTTACTTATCGGACTCGTTATTAGAGCTAATTACTCTACTATCTACTAGGATACCCTTATCTTTACCCTTACTCTTATCCTCTGTAATAGAGGTCATAGGGTCTCCCGATAATAGGATAAGGATATTCTGCGATATATATTAGTAATAGGGTTAATATATAGGAGGCGCGGGGTAACTTACAAGGTAGGCGAGGATAGCCTCTAATATCTCGCCGTTATAAGCGTATCTACTATAACACTATAAGGGCGTAGTAACTATAACTATACTTATATTACTAGCCTAGTAAAGAGTAGCATAGTATACACGGAGGGTATAGGTTTAGCAGATAGCGGCCTATTAATACTTATAGACGTACTATAATAGGGTTAGTAATAAGGACGTAATATACACGGTATAACGGAGAATAGGAAACCTATAAAAGGAGTTACCGTATCGCGGGCGGCGATAGCGGCGGCGATAAAGATATTAGTAGCGTTATAGTAAGAGGGGGGGATCTAATAGGAGGATTAACGGAGCGAGGGCGTAATAGGGGCGTAGCGGGGATAAACCGGGGCGTAGTCTTAAGTGCTACGGTTACTATTAATATACTTTATATAATAAGCCCCGGCTCCTAAGTCGGGTTAGTAGAACGTAGTATAAAGCGGAGGTAAAGCGGGGGCGTAGCGAGGACGCGATCGGACTACTTACCGGGCGGATTTTAATAGGGCGAGGCCCGGTAACCCCGGGCTAATAATATAATATAAAAGGTATAGGGGGATAAGCGGAGGGTAGGCTTAGAATATACTGGGTTGGAATACAGATTAAGGGTATAAAGCGGGGGCTACGATAAAAGCGCGGGGGACTTATAGTTAAAGACTAGGGGGTAGCCGGTCCTTTACCCTTATAGGCGCCGGAACCGGCTCCCTCTTTAGTAATAAAGGACTTATTAATAGGTATCTAAAGGGGTAGGAGAGTTAGACAAAGGCGGGTATTATGGGGGCGGAGCGTTACCGGCGCGAGGATAGTATAACCCGGGACCCTATAGAATATCTTATACTATAGCCGAATAGAACTAGGGGACACCGTGTAAGAGTACTTTAAGGCTATATATATACCGTACCGACTACGCGAAACTTACCTTAAAAATAATAGCTTAAGAAAAGGAAAAAAGGAAAAGAGGAAAAAAGAGAGGAAAAAAAGGAGGTTTATAAGAAAAGGGGGTAGTAGATTAGCCCTATAAGTTACTATATCTACTAGAGAATAGCAGCCACGCCCGGCCTATACTATAGCGCCTACCCCAGAGAGCCTACGTAGCGTGAAAAAAGGAGGTATATAACTATATAAAGGCTACTATAAATAGCAGGCATACGAAGGAGGTCTAGGAATAAATAATAAATAAAGGAAGGAGTAAGGGGGGGGGTAGGCGCGCCCCCGCTCTTATAAAAGGAAGGGAGGGTATAAAGGGTACTATGGTAAGGGGATAATAACCTCGCCGGATCTGGAATAAAGGAAAGGACGGCGGCGAGTAACCGTAGTGGTAGCGTACTAAGGGCGTATACGACCCGACACGGCACTTACCAAACTAACTAGCTAACCCCTATTAGCTACTAGCCCGGAGGTAAGATCCGGGTTTCGAATAGCGATAAGAATAGGGCCGCGGAGCGATACCGTAGCGGCTATATATAATAGACCTTCTTTATATAATATGAGCGCAGGGGTTTTTATCTACTAACGGTTTCCCCTTAAAAGTTAGAGAAGGACTATTACCTAGGTAGCTAGCCTAGCTTAGCTAAGCGAGAGCAGAGTAATAAATAATAATAATAATAATCATATAATATAAATAAAATAAGGATATAAAAGAGGTAAAAAGTAAACGGCCTAGTAATAGGGTCTATAAAAAGGAGGAGTATTTATATTAAAACGCTTAGTACGCGGATCGAAAGCTTAATTATTAAGTATATCTCTGCTAAAGGCTAATCTTTACCTCCGCTTATTACTTTTAAGGCAAATTTACTCTAATAGTAATAGTTTCCTATAGATCTAGATAACTATAATAGCTAGCGTTTTACTACCTTTAAAAACCGTTAAACCTTTAATAAAATAGCCGTAGAGTAGCTTAAAAAGATTTTTAACGCCCGTACTAAAGTAAAGGCAGATATAGTAGGTTTACTACGTTTATTACTACTAGACGGCTATAGGAGCTACCTCTCTAGTAGGCTTTTATAGGAATATTACCTAAAAAACAATTTCGACACGCCTATTAACCACGGGCGCATAATAGGAGTAAAAGCGATAAAACCACCGAGACAGAGATTATAACTACTACCTCTCTCCCGGGATACTATTATACCGGTACCGTAATACCGGCGCTACTGTATAGCTGGAAGAATCATAGAATAGCGTTATTCCGACCATAACTATATAGAATTTATAACGGACCTACCTTTCGTAATATAAGCGCCCCCCCCCCCCCGGAGGCAGGATATAGCGCGGAACCGATATAAGACTAAAAAAGGACTACTACGCCCCCCGGAACCGAGAATAGCTAAGATTAAGGCAGAAGTTTAGGCCTTACTAGCTAATAGGAACACGATTAAGTAGGTTATAAAGCTAGTAAAGGAATTAATGACAATATATAGTACCCGTAATAATACCGGTATATTACTATCAGTATACCTATATGCTTCTGTCCGCCACGTTATCCGAGAGGAACTCCGGAAAGGAATAAACGGTATAAAAAAGACCTAGGCTAATATTATAGCCCGGGCTCCCGTGGTGGTACCGCTATAGGACCCCGTCCCGCCTAAAATAATCCCTATTAGGTATTACCGAAAATTAATTATCCGCTAAAGAACCCTCCCCGAAGACTAGCCTCTTAGAGCTAGGACCCTAAAGCAAATTATTTAAGCTATAAACGCTATAATTACCTAAACTAACGCTATAGTGGCACAGGAGCCACTAAGCGGAGATATCTACTTTAGCTTTACCGAAGGGGTATAGTGGTAGACTACCTATAAGGAGTAATAGATTAAGAAGGCTTTTAGTAAAAGAGTTACCCTAGCCGTATATACTTACCCTACGCTCGCTAAGGCTATCCCTTTATAGGTCTTTAACGCCTTATCCGCAAAAGAGCTACTAGTATCCGTATAAGATATAAATCCCGAGGCTAAAACTCTCTAAGTATAATAGCGAGTACCCCGCTACGGTATTAATAGGGTAACGCTTCTCCTTATCGAATCGGTTTTACCGGAAAGGAT